AATTATTGTGGGGTTGTCTGCAGGACTCTTTTTTTTTTTCTTTCTTTTTTTTTTTTCTTAAAGGTGTTCAGTCTCCTTGTGCAGAATATGTATATTCAGCACTGCATTATCACAACCATCTCCCCTCGTCTTTTATGTTACTGGAAAAAAAAAAAAAAAGTCTTCAGAACAGCCCAGTCTCGCCACCTTTTTCAGGTTAGGAGGGTAATCAGTTACTGGAAGGCCTTTGTAGCTAATGATTATGTCATTTATTTTACTGGCCATTGTGGGGGTATTGATAAATGGGGCACTCCTGAAGGTAAGGTTATTCTGAACACATCTTGCTGCCTGACACTTGCTATCTTTGTTGAACAGAAGCCAAGTATACCTACTGCAAGCTAAATTACATATTGTCTAGTTACTATGATGTACTGCAATAAAAGTGTAAAACCTACATTCATTATATGCTCTTAAAAAGAATAAAAAAAATTTAATTCTCTTCTGTTTGAAAATACTAGGAAAAATATGTAGTCTTAACTTGGCTTTTATTATCTTATGCAAAAGTGTTTTTAAAACCTTCTTAGACACTGTATTGAAATCCTGCAAAGTCACAGGAAGTAGTTCACTTGGTTTCTTCGATATATGAACATTTAAAGTAGTGCTGACACACAGGGATTCCTGGTAAATCCACACTTAGAATCCAAATGCCCAAGTTTCCATTACGGCTGCAAGGTAATGCATGCCTAAAGCTACAGGTATTACATACATTTCCTTAGAGACAAGAGAACATTGCTAACTTACTAATTATAAAGTGAACTGGTAGTTCTTACCTGGTGTTCTGCAAATCTTCAAGAATGTTTTCTTAGTCACTAAATACATTAGGACTATTGACATCCTCAAATGCTCCATTTTTAATAAGCTACCCTATCACCTGATATAACAGTAAAATTACAAGGATCATATTCATGAAATCAAACTGATCTTCCTGGCATTCTATCCAGGCTCATAATAAACCTGCTCTCTTTTTAATTATATATTAATTTGGAACAATTTTATAGAGCTCTCACTGCATTTAGGTCCCTGTCTACCCAGAAATCTCTATTACCTGGGAGCATATAATGAAACAGAATTAAAATAGATTATGCAAAAACTGAATGCACAGCAGTCTAATACATGCACTACCGTACCCCACTCATCAATAGTTAAAGGAACTCAGCAATATCCTTCACAAAATATGACAGAGTTGAAGCAATCTCATGCTTGCATTAATTTTATCTCAAAAACGTTAGCAGGTAATTTCTTATATCTTCTACATATCTAATTAATGTAGGAGATAAAACATACCAGAGACATATTATTAGATCTAGGCATGAAACAGTTAACAGCAGTGCACATGCCAAGGTTTTAATAAGGCTTAACAACAAAAAGCTTCAATCCTCCACTTTCACTAGATTTTGTTGTTGTGGTTTTCCCTTGCTTAGGGCAATCCATCTGTTAATGTTGACTTGCAATATAGTTAAGCTCGCACACGTATAAAAAGCGTAGAACAGCTAACCTAAGCAAGAGTAAGCTCAAATGAATATTACAGAGATAGAACAATTCATCTTAGAGAAAGATTAATTGTGTGTGTGCGCACGCGCGTGCACACAGGCACGTATGAGTGCACTCCTGTTCTTTATTTTTTTAGGAAAGACTTTCAAAATGCAAATGATAGGAGGGCAAGCTGATCACTACAGTTTGCAATAACACATTTAATTATTTATCCTCCTATTAGGTTTTGACAGCTATTTTACATGCTATAATTTGTTTTGATTTACTGTTAATTTTTTTTTTTTAAAGCCTATTGCCAATCTGGCAAAAAAAAAAAAAAATAAAACCACTATGACAGCGGTGATAAAGCTTAGTAAATATTCATTGTTAAAAACGGCTCTGCACTGTGACCAGTGCTGGTATTCTCCCTGGGCCAAACTGGCCTTGTTTTCAATAAAACCAGAGAAGTATCCTATCCCTTGAGCCCTGTTAGGCAGAGGCTGCAGTTGGAACTGTCATCTTCACACAAAAGCAAAGGGGTTGGGTTTTACAAACGCAAAGCCTAATTGGGAGATCTTCATGGCTGTACCCTTGACATTTATTAAAGCCTCATCAACAAAACAGGAAATAACCGTACTAATTAGCAGACCCACAGACAAACTACTATTTGCTGGGGTAAAAGCAGATTCACTTCCTATTCTAAAGGAAACGTCCTCCCAGACCCCAAAATCCTGTTATGAAACAATTATTAAAATAATATTTTACAGTGAAGGAAACTTTCATATTATACGTAATGTTTTGAAGTAAATATGTTTCACAACATCTCAGATAACTATTAGTCAGTATTTCTATTTAAATGATTCCAAGAAGTGAAGAATGAAAAGCTCAATGCCTGCATCTAACATGACAAAATATAACAGTAAATTCTTTATATTTACAAGTTTTCAAATGCTTCAGTATGGAAAAGACAGTAATAAAGGGCAGAAGTGCCTCTTGTTTGGAAGCAAGATGACCATTAAAAGCAATCTCTCTTCTGTTTGTTGTTTAGGTTTTGGGGGGGATACTCAAATAGATGGATGTTGCAACTTAGACAGTATCTGGTCCTTTAACTTTAAATATACATCAAAATGCATGAACTGCATATTAGCACTATCCTTATACTGCTATAGACGCTCACAGGCACCATTTCAGAAATCTGGGTAGAAAGGTTCATTTGCAGGATAGGTACAGAAAAAAAGATTAAGCCTGACAACAATAGCAATCTGTGAAATACGCTTCTCTTAAATGGCAGATTCAGTACCAGATCAAACATAGTCCCTCCTATATACATGCACTTGTGAATACAAATACATATTTTTATTTGGACTTAAAGTTTAAAATCAGCGCTTATTCATACAGAAATTGCATTTGTTATCTTATTTGCATAACTACCAAGAACAAAAACAAAAACAAAAACCAGAGCAGCAACAATAGACTAATATTTTTTAGAAATATGTTGGTTCATTTGTTTTGGGGGAGGAGGAAAAAGTGGTAACAGCATGAGAGAGAGGTGTAGGAAACTGCGTAAGACCAAAGCTCTTGGTGAGCGAGTACCGCTCCTTCCTGCCCACTGGGCTCAGGTGACATTTGGGACAAGAGCTGGGGAGACAACAGGGGATATTCTGTTTGCAGCGGTGCAAAACTACAGGGCTATTAGTTACAAGCTTCGCTAGTAAACAAACCCTATATGCATATATGTATGTGTGTGCATACATACATAAACATGTATATATGTATACGCCAACAAAACTATGGACTGACATGCACTCCCTTCTGTCTTGTTTTCAAAACTAAAAGGCGACTGGTAGAACCAGCAACAGTGACACTGAAGGATTCAGCAGCACGCAGCTCTACCAACACAGGAACGTACAGAAGTTAAATTGTTCTGTCTGGACACCGGCTTTCAAAAGACATGTTTAATTGCACCAAAGTAAATTATGTTCCTTTGTATCCCTAGAATCCTTTACCTAATAGAAGGCAGTCCTACCGTATCAATTACTGCAGGTTTCTGTAATAAAAGCAGCCTATAAAAATTGGACATTGCCTATAAGGGTACATTTGTGTCATGTGTTTACACAGATACATACAATTGTAGATTCAGCTACACTAATCTGTGAACGTTGGCGTATAATGCATTAAAAGCATTTTAGTACCTCACATTATCAAATGATCTTGGTGGTGCAGAAGTTGCTATATATTAAAGTGACAGTTACCTATTAGAAAAAAATATTTTAATAACCATTCATGTAATTAACATTAGAGGTGTATACTCATACATTTAGAATTGTATATCTTCTCTTCTGATACTGAGTGAACAAGAACAAGTAGACAAGTTCCTGAAAGAAGGCAGGCACCACAGTTGCCTGTATATAAAAATATACTAAGGGCACATAGTTTAACACCTTATCACTGGTTTTAAGAGATCAAGAAAACAGGTACAAAGTAAAACCTGCCTAAATAATTAAAGCAGAAAGTCTGTGTATTATTCATAACCCTACTAAAAATAATGACTTAATACTGGTGTACAATTTCAACATCATTTAGCAATAATCTGCATCAGTTCTATGTTAAATTTCACAAACTTTCTATTTATTACGAATTAAAAAAAATTTTAAACCAAATTGATGATATAGTTCTGATTTTTATAATTGCAATATCTAAGATAAAAAACCAAATGTTGTTAGGTCAGCTGGACTGAATTTCTATATTTACTTCTTATCCGAGGAAGATATATGCATTAATAATCCATATATAAACATTCATTGTGTATATTAAAACATGCAATAACAATATAATGTAAAAATATATGCCCACATATTAAAATATGTACATGTGCGGGTATTTATTCCCAGAAAAAAGTGTTACAAAAAACTATTTTATTGATATCTTTGAACTAAAACCATTAAAATGAATCCAAAGATACTAAAACACTTGCCAAAGTTGAGACACTACACCTGTTACTTCAAATCAAGACTAGTAATGATTAGAGAACAAAAGGACAAGAGATTGGCACTGTATGAACTAGCTGACTTTTACTAATAAATAAAAACGATATGAGCAAGGTTAAAAGCCACATGACTGCCAAATCAATTTATTACAAATATAAATTTAATGTGCTTCACTATAAAAAACTAAAAAAGACAGCTTAACACAGAACTGTGAATAGACCAGAATGTATTTGTTATGAGAAGCCTTTATCAAAAACAGTATTTAAGAATTAAATCTCAGATCCATACTTACAAATCTCCTGTTTTTTTCCCCTCTCAACAGGGGTGAAACACAAATAATATTTCTCCTCTATTCAAGCAGTACAGCAGTATTTATATTAGCCGTCTAATCACACTATCCAAACACAGACAGCAATCTTAAACAGATCCACTGATGCATTGCTCTAAGTGGCAAAAAATTTTCCTCATGTATGTGAATAAGAACAGAAGTTTCAGGTGTCTTACCTGTGCCAACCTCCGTTTTTCTGAGTTTGCTCTTTTCTCGTAACGTAATGTGTAGACAGGAGCAGTCTGTCCTGCACCAGCACTGCAAGTTCCATACTCATCCTCGCTCTCCTACAACAAAACAGATTTAAATTCCTTTATTTATAATCATTATCTGAAAACGTACCTTCCATATTATGCATGCAGAATGCATTCAAAATCATCTTGCCACAATCTATTACTGTCATGAAAATACCATCTGTAGTAAGAAAATCAAATTTAGCTTTTCAGGAAGCTGAATTATCAACATTGTCATTTAGAAGATGAATTGTTCAAATGTCTAGGAAATATTTTTGAAAGTTTTCTTAAAATAGCATAAAATACATTTAAAAAACAGCTCCTTCTCCCTACTGAAAAATCTTAACTGGAAACAAAATTTTCAATGGGAAAAGCAGCTGCAAAATGCCTAAAATATCTTTTCTGACATTTCTGCAATGCTGCTTTTGCAAAATGAAACTGTTCCTTCATTTTAAACGTTGCCATTGTCCATGTATCTTATGAAGCCAAAACAGACAACTACACCTTCTGAAATACATTGCACTGCAAGATTCTCCCATCTCAAATTCTCAGCTTGAAGCAAAGGTTTCGATTGTGATATCAAAGCAATCAACTTTATGAAAACATACATCCTGTTAATGTATCTTTGAAGACCTCTGTTGTTCTATGATAAAATATGCAAACAATAAAGAGATTATTCAGTGGATGCATAGAATGACAGATAGTTGCCAGAGGGCTCGTTATGAAAAATGTATTGTTGAACAAAGGGCTAAGCATATTTCAAAAGTCATTAAAAACACAAATCTCATGTGATTTGTAAAGTATAAGCTTCAAACTGATACAGGAAGCAAGGTAAGAAAGTAAAAAGTGTACTACATACCTTGTGTTTTAACTTACTCTTCACTTCTTTTATTCCTTGCCTTGCCTGATTTTTTGCCTAGAAAAACAAAAGGACTTAAATAGCTCTGTAAGATGCTGGCTGTTGTCATGAAACATGCTTCATGATACCATATTTATTTTACTTTTTTTTTTTTTTTTTTTTTTTAAACACCTGGTGATATAAAGACTGACAATAACCTTTATCACACATTTCATACATGCATTGTCAGTATATTTTATACATTCATGTTTTGCCCTTATTTAAGGATCTTTTTCAGTGCTCGTATGCCAATGCTAAGAAAACACACATACTCAAAAATTCTCCAGTATTACTAAGGACAGGCTAAAAATGGCCACATACATCACTCCTTTATTTGAAACGGTGCTTTAAATTTGAAATGGTATTTTAGCAGTAAGGCATGTTGGAAAAATGTTAAGATTTTCAAGATGACTGCTACGGTGTTCCAGTCTGGCAACTTGCAGGGCAACATCAATCTTAAGAGAAAAGAAGTGATTTCTTATGCAGATGGAGATTTTGCCCAGTGTTGCTGAACAACATAGTGCAGCTATTTAGGGGAGAATTCTGTATGTATTAAAATAGGAAGCCAAGGATCACTGTTGCATGGAAAACAGAGCCAAGAATGTTCTTCAATAGAAAAATGAATTATCAATACAGAATACCATGTACTTATGCAGAAAGAGAGAGATAAGGAGGGAGAGTTAAAAAATAAGAGAAGATGGAGGAGAAAGAAGGAGGGGTGGGGCAAAATCCCTAACCCTAAAAGGAGAAAGGGTATTTATCTTATATGAATATGGAAAAAAGCTACAAAATTTTTTAAGGCTGTCTAGAAAATAGAACTTCTGAAGAATCCATTTAAGGGCACAAGTATGTGTAAATCACCTATTTTTCTATGGTTTTCTATATATGGAAATTCAGAAAAAAAATAAATTTTCTTGAATCAAGAGGTCAGAGAGTCTTTTTGATCACTAAATCATACATCTACAAGCTCAATAACAGCACAATGCGGGGGGCGCCATGTAGCAGATGCTAACCTGAGATCCACTTTAAACTTTCCAGATCATGCTCACAGCATTTAGATGAATTTTGGAGTGCTTTGTTCTGACTTTGAGGGATGGCACCAAGCACACTACTCGAGGCTACCAATTGGTTATCTCACAATTAAGAAATGCATATTTCCTTTCTCTAGTAGTAGACTCCCTAAAGGGCAACAGCATAAGAAATTAAAAGGGGTATAAATATGAATACCTTATACACACAGATCCACACAAAATTTATCAGTGTTCCTGAACAGAAGTAAACTTTGGTGAACCTTTATTATCAAGAACACAATTATCAAAATCAAAAGATCGTGTAAGCGCAGTCTAAGCTAGTGCAAACTGAAGACTAATAATTTGCAGACAACCTGTTAATGTACCATTTTTAAAATTATGAGTTCATGAATACAAAGTGTATTTATTTACCTGTTTCTTTCCATGACTGCTGTGTTTTTCTACTGATATAAAATTTAAAATTCTGTTTGAAAAGTTTACTTAAAATATCCTAGCTTAGACTGATGTACTGATTTATTTAGCACTACTTATTATGCATCCAACTAGTGAAACAATTGGAAAAGCAAGAAGGAAAAGACTTTTCCCATATATTAGAAATGAAACCTTAAAATACTTCCCATTTCATTTTACACTATTGCTGTTTTTTCATACTGCATGACACCATATAATTTCACATGCTCTACTGGTCAGGCAGTCTTTTAAAAGAAGATCTTCTAAGCGCATAAGTATTAGTATTAAATTGAGTTAAACATTAAGTATTCTAGTATCATCTTTAAAAGAGCAGATGATAGAAAAGTCTTGCTGTGCACGTTACTGACGCATTACCACATCTTTTCAATAGTGCAGCACTTAGTGCCAAAGTGAAAGTGCATCTGTGTAACCTGTATCTGTTCTGAACAGAGAAGATCTCTGCATCATGTTAACACTATATATTATGAGAAGTATATAGTATGACACTATATTTGTATTAGATATAAATATAACATTTACAAAATGTTTTACACTCATGTTAACTTTGTAATGCCTGTGCTGTGTTATGGGACCTTAGTGTAAATGAGAATTTCTGTTTTCAAAGTCCATATTTTAATAATGTTGTCATCAGGTTAGGAAGAGTTTCCAGCAGTGTATCAAACACCTAAATGATATTCAAATAAGCTTCTAGTATGTATTATGATTGAAAAAAAACAAAGACCACACTGATGCTGTGAAAATGTCTGTTGTTACGTACAAGCTATCTGGAAGACTCTGAATCAACTCTAAATCCTAGTGCTACATGAGAAAAATGAAGCTAAAAACGTTCTAACAAGCTGAAGTGTTTTTCTGCAATACATTTATAAAATGCTTAGGTTTTTAAGGATTCAGGAAGAATGAGAGGTGGTAGGAAGTTGTGGTATTTTCATGTATTATTTAGTTGAAAGAGATGATCTTACAAATTTATATGCTGTTTTCACAGCCGGAGTGGCTTTGGTCATTGCTGTGTTGATCAGTGCACCACCTTTCTGAAATACACAAAAAATGTATTTTAGTAACATTTTAACACAAGTCAGACCTTAAGACAACAACACAGAAAAATAAACACTGTGCTGCAAAGAAAAAACAACCTTCCTTTAAAATCGGTAAGAATAACCACAGCTGTGTTTCCTCCCCTGTCTGCAGCTACACAAGGGTTACAGTACGTCATTATCGTAGCTGACACATTTATCAATGCATTCTAACAGAATGATGTATTTTCATTCTCAGTCATTGTTACCATTTCAAATCAATTCAGAAGCTATTTTTCATGTGTTCCTATCATATTTACTATGCAACTTAAAATACTTTGACCTGACAGAAAGAACTATATCATTTAATCACACAAGAATTCTCTTAATCTAAAATAATATATTGTACTAATCTTGCAGAATAACAAGGTTATACCAAAGGTCTTTGGCTAGCCAAACTGCACAAATCCATATTAATAAAATTGCTATTTACTAGAAGTGATAAACTTCATATCAAATTGTACTGTCACACCTAATTCACAGTTAGGGAATGTAACATGACACAGAAAACAGTGAAATCCCTGACTATACAGACTGAAAATCCTTGTGCATTTTGGCATTTGTTTTGTGTATAGGATTTATTTTTTTGTTGTTTTTAAATCTTCAAGAAAAAATCCCCCCAAAGGATTGCATAATAGACATGTTATTTATTACAGAGTGTACTTATATTTTCCTTGCAAATGAATGAACTTTTACCATTCCATATATGTAAGGAAAAGGACAAAGATTTAAAGAACAGAATGGCCATTATAATTACTTAACCAAGTTTATACCTTCACTGTATGCATCCACTGCTGATAAGATCTTGAATTTCCTGAAATAGAAATGTAAAATGTAACACAATCAAACATAAATTCGACATATTAAATATTTCAACCCTCCTCACAATCTGCATAAAAAATTCCCTTAGAGGATTATTCATTAATTTCATTCTTCCCAGATAGGCAAGGAATGTAAAGATAAGAATATGAGTACACTAAGAAAAAAACTAGGTATCTCTTGTTACATGTTTTGTTTTCCTTGTAAAAATGTATTTTTTCACCACACATAGATTTTAATTCCAATTGAGGTAGAAGGAGAAATTAAAACTATGATAAGGTAACATACTGCTAAGAAGAAAAACACCAACTTGAAGAAAAGAATAATATATAATGAACTGCATTCAAGCATAATGATCCCACTGGGCAAACTTTCAAGTACAAAAATGACATGGACTGCAGATGGTACCATCCCAAGGAAAAAGAACGAGAGAGAAGTCTAAGGATTATAGCACAACTATATTCTTCTGTGCAGCAAAAATAATTTTAAATTATTGACTGTATCGACTTTCTTTCACAAAGGAAAACCTCTAAAAGGCAAGTGAGAGCTACTGGCCTCTGTAATACTACCAAGGACTATTGTGCCACTAAGCTGGCCATGAAGGACAGGGTTAAATTCTACCAAGCACTTAATGGAGAAATGAATACAATTTCCCAAAGGTGCTTCAGCTGAACACCAAAGATTGGGTCCCTGATCCCTGAGGAAGTTTTAGAGTACATCAGTCACTGGAATACTCTGGTTCTGTGAGCTATTGCTGCCCCCAGACAAGACAGTCACATTGACAAGAACGCTGAAGTTTCAAGCAGAGAGTTTAGCCATTTTGAAAGGACCATACTGATATATCCTTGATGTTACGGACTTTCAACAGGAGTTCTCAAAACGTAAGCTTTGCTTAACCAGTTAACCAAATAACCAGTTAACTAAGGCCAAGTAGAATTATTGCATTGGATAGTGTAAAGCCAAAACATTCTCCTAGAACATGGCTGAGAACTCACTGGATCATTGTAAAAGGTATTTCCAATTTTCTTAACAAGGTGAAAAAACTGAACCGTCATATCATACACTTTCACCCACTCCACTAAATCCTTTACAAGCAATTTTGAGACAGCCAAACTCTCAGGAATGATGGCACAAGTGAAAGTGATGCTCACTTAGAGAGAGCCTGATCATTATGGTTATTATCTCCAGAAAGAACATCAAAGAGCAACCTAAAGCAAAAATGACTCATTTTTTAATTCTTCAATCTGTCTCTCTGGAACTACAGAGAAGGTAGCATGGAAATAATGTGAAATTTCCTTAAGCACTGCCAGTGTGTTAATGAAATTTCCACGAATTTCCAGTGATTTCTCTAATATGACATTTCATAAATTCAAATTCTTATCAAAAAATATTAATATATCATCTAGCTTATGGTGTCTTTAAGAATGACTCTTTCCACATCTGAGCTTTCTCTATCACAGCTTGTGACTTAATGTGATCACAGAAAATCACCAAGAAGTTTAACTGTCTTCTAGCTGTGTAGAGATCTCAGAGAAGGCAATAAAGAAAACAAATAAATACTCATCTACAGAAAAGGCTGTATTAACACTGCATACCCATACCCTTGGCTAGAATTGAACCTCCTGAATCTCTAGCAAGAAAATGCTGACCCCTTAAAATAAATTATTATTAAAAGAGAGGTTCAAAGGTTTTCACTTTTTCAGTTTTCCTTATACTACCACCATTGATATTAGACCAACTCAAAAAAACCCCAAAACTGCTCTAGTAAAATTAATGTGATTACAAATTACTTTAATGGATATATTCTACAAGAAATCCACGTGCTAAGCCAATCGATCATCACTATATTCTTGCATTGAAAGTTACATAAAGCTCTTGAGAACAAATATCTCCACAGAATACAAGTAAAAGAAAATAAATTTTTAAGTATGAAGTGCAAACTGTAACGAAGATGGCTGACAGATTTATTTTCACATATAGTCACAGAGAAATAATTTTTGACCATTTAGCTAGGGAAAAAAAAAATGACAAAAAATAATGAAATCTAAGTTTTATTCTCCAATTTCCAGTTTAATTTTCTGTGCTGGTTTAGTTATGCTCACACATGGAAAAATGCAAATTGAAAAAGAGATTACTTAAAGAAGTGTTTTCCATTTGATTTGGTAATTTTTAAATTATACTCTCTTCAGCTAAGAATATGTTCACCTGTCCTTTTAACAGCTGGTAGCTTACACTAACTTTCTGTGACTTTTCTGAAGGCTGGTTTTCACCTGTTTTTTAAAACCTTGGGCTTCCTAATAAAGTTGACGGGCGTTAACTCTGCAAAGAGATCATAGTTCTACCCCATTAGCGTCACAAAATGTCACCTTCAATTGCATACATATTGTTAGCCCTGCACTTCATAACGATAATGAGACAGCAGTTATGTAAATACTGAATATGTGCCCTAAGCAATTTGTCCACAACCTGGCAATATACAGCTTGTCTGACTTGAAAAGTAAGCACGCAGTGCAATCCAACAGAGAACTGCTAGGGAAGCTGAGCATTCCCTCCTGAGCAGAGCCAGGTGAGACATGGTTCACAGGCTGCCGGCGCGCAGCCAGGAAACAAGCTTTATCTAACTTCTCTTGCAGTTTTATTGCAGCCTCTTGACCCACTAAATGCAGTCAGCGAACGAACTCGGAATACTGACACCACCTATCTCAATAATGGATGCTCGATGCCTAAAATCTGTTTACAGAGCAGCATAAGTTACCCTAAAAAGGTAGAAAAGATGTAAGTCTAAAATCTGTTTACAGAACAGCGTAAGTTACCCTAAAAAGGTAGAAAAGATGTAAATCTCTGTATAACTAACCACACTGTAATCAAGGAAAAAAAAATAATTACGTGCTAGATCATAGCACAAGACACAGAGGGTGGGAGAAGGCAGTGAAAATCTTGAACAAAAGGATTTATGTACTCTGAACATAAAAAAGGTATTTTACAGAGGGTGAAGATGGCTCTGCACAACTCAATGATTTCTCTGTGGGGGCCAAATCCCTTCCTCTGTAAATATGCCTGTTTAAGGGGAGTCTGGCAAAGAAAGACCGTCCGGAGCTGCCAGATTTGCTCAAAACTCAGTGGATTTGCTCAAATCACATAACCTCCATTTACTGAGAAAGCTGCTACACTAAAGATCATAACCCAGTATTTGTGCTGCATCATGCACGTTATGATCCAATATTTTAATAGCAAATACGATACCTCAAATAACAATATAGCTGTAATAAATGTCTAACAGGAAAGCAATCAATAATCCTGTAATATTCAGCAATCTTGTCATATTCAGCATCCACTGTATGGGTTAACTTTCTAAGCTAGCTAACATCAAAAGTATTATAACAATTGTCAGTGAACATAACTGAGGAAAATAACACAAGGAACAGTATTTTCATTTATGAAGAAGGCAAATTTTCAATGTTCCATCTGAGAAAATGTTAATTTTTCCCCTCTTTATTAGAGGAACACATTTGCTGGAGAAGGCAAATTTCTCTAAAAAATTCAGGAAATCACTCTGATTTCTGAGCTGCAGATATAATTAGATGTGAAAAAAAGTGAAAGTTTTTAAGGATAACATAACTAGAAACAGTTCAGCAGCACAAATTTCAGTTATTTTTAAAACACAGCTTACATATAATGTACCATATTACGTAAACATGCTATTAAAAATGTAAATAATATAGTGATATTTCATCATATATTGACATCTAAGTATTATTTTACTGGATTAAAACAACATATCTTCATTTAATATACTGACAATTAGATACATAATAGTACGTCTGCTAGCAGTGATTTGTTAAAAGCTTGCCAAGAATGAATGGATACAATGAAGCAATAATAAGACTCATTACTTATAAATTTACAGGACATCCTGAGAACATCATCATGTTGAACAGCTCCCGAAGAAGCATAACAAGTGAGGACACTCAAATCAATTCTTTACCTCCAGAAAAGCCTCCTGATGTGATTTCTTCTTCAAAAACATCAGAGAATCCCCTTCCTGCATTTAATTTTGCTAGTCGACCATCAATAAACTGAAAAAAGAAGTGAGACACTTTGTTGGCCCTTCTATTACTATACAGTGTTATAGTTTTCAGTCTGTACATTATGAATATGGATGTCCAAGACAACACATGGTTTATGGATAATATATTGCTTTTAGATGGATTTTGCAAGGGCAGTTGTAACTATGAGCAGTGGAAATATCAGAGTATTTTATATATAAAGAAAATTATATATATTATGCAAAATTTACAAATAGATTTGTAAATTTTATAGTCAATGAAATTACACATCAGATTGTTCAAAAACATTTTAAATGGCTTTCAAGCTTTTCTAACAGTGGCAACTTTGGATTTGTAATCATAAGCATATAAGGATCTCTGAGTCACTCCCTGATGTTCTGTTTTGAAATCAGAAGTTTACCTGGTATCATCAACAAAAGAACATAAACAAACCTCCCTATGGTATCCCTTTTTGGGTATGTATCAATGGGTCCAAAGCAGAACTTCTTGTGCACAAAAAGCACCTTTAGAATGGCTGGAAACATTTCACCACATCCAGTTTAAAGAAATGATAGACTACAATTTCTACTTGAGGTGCATTAAAAGTGTATGTATAATACATGAAAAATCATGCTATAAGGACAGCATGTGAAGTGTAACTGTAGCAAAACCATCCACACTGAAACAGCAGAGGAGGCTGTGGCTTGGTTTCACAAACGGTGGTAGCAGCAGGTTGGATTTCACTGGCAGCGTGAGCTGACTCGAAGGACATTTAATTTAAGTGTATGGGAATGTGGTGCATGAAGTCCCAAAACAAAGTGGGGCAGGATACCAAGGCAGACCCCTAAAACCCTCTCCACCTGACTAAGCATGGTTCAAGGGTTGACACCACTGTTTACTCTTTCCTTTTTTTTTTACTACTAATACTTATGTAGTTGCATCTACAGATGCCTATTGCAACAGTTGTCCTCATGCAGAGGTTACAGCTGCATAAGCACATGGATTTGCATCCACATATAAGCGGACAGAGAAAGACTGAAATGATCCAAATACGTCAGAAAAAGTCAAAGTAAGATGATTAATGATTAAACCTTTCAGAAAGAACGAATACATTCTTTTGAATTACAGAGCTTCAGAGACGTACAACGAGCACATTCTTAAAGGTTTAAAATTCTTTCAAGAAGCAATCCCTCCCTTTTTGGTTTGAAAAGGCTAACTCAAGTCTGAGAGATAAAGTGAGAAAGCACTTCTCCAATTATAAACGGTTCATCTTCTAGCAAGAATTATGAGTTATTCACGGGTACTAACAAGTACACAGGAACAAAATTAATGATTTGGCTATATCATATTTTACCAAAGATTATTCAAACAGTATCAGTGACAATCGGATGCTTGTCAATGAACAGACTAGTGATGTGAAACAAATCCCTTTCTCAGAGTATAAAAATTCCAGCAGCAAGGGTAAGAAAAGCAAATAGATAACCATTTCTTTCTCTTTCTTGTCTAAATTCCTTCTTGTTTTTTCATTTTACTCAAAGTCGGCTTTTTTTTCAAAGAGGCTGGTTCATGGTCAGACCACTATGGGATCACTGGGTTATTTCACAGTAAGAAAAAAAGATAAGAGCATCTTTAGCTACTGCAGGGAAGAGAAAAAATTCAAAACACACCACCCTGTCCCCTCCCATCTCCAGCCTTTGAACTGTAAGACATTATCTCTTTTGGGAAAGTTATGAATTCATTCCATACTATAAACTAACATAAGATTTATGGACATACTCATCATTTGGTATAATTCTATCAACAGAAGACTGAGACACTGACTGAACTTCAGTTTTTAGAGGACCATTCCAACTGAGTATTTAATGTAAATACTGACAAACAGAACTGTTAGAAAAAAGATACTGGAGACATTAAAAGACATTATAAGTGGTAGTACTGGTAGCAGTTATTACTTTTGAGTAATTTACTTTGAATGGTTGCATTTAGATTGCTACATGAGAGGAATAGCATGTGGAATCACACATACGCTTTATGGTTTTCTCCTCTCATTTTTCAAACCCACATTCTCTTGAAAAATCTGGGTCTGCTAGTTCAAGAAATGCATTCACTTTGAGATCCAGAGAGCCTCTGGCTGATTACCACTTTCAATTAAAAACTAGTAATTCCAGTGTTACTCTTGGATTTTAAGATGACTAAAGACAGAACTACCGTAATCCTTAAATAATTTTGAATTCTAAAATCAAAATATAGACCATATTCATTTCAGTAGATACTGTTGCAGAGGTGATAAAGGGTGGGGGAAGAGAGATGATGTTTGTGAGCTAATCCCACACATTTATTTAGGCAAGAGTGAAAATTTCAAGTCTTAATAACGTTCCCATTATTAAGAACAAAAAAATTGGTATAAGCAAAGAAAACACAATAAATGTGACTTCCACACAATAACAGCTCAACAGCTTCCAAGAAGAGAGCTCAATTCATAAAGGTTGCAAATCAAATTTGAAAGTACTAATAATTTTCAAAGACTTATGATTCTACAAGTCCCAACCCTGTATTCATTACTTATTTTTCTAGTTAACACTTTCCACCTTTTTAGGAACAAATCCCAACAAATGTTGCAGATTACATTACTTTAACAAGATAGTCTAGCATTAGGCTTCATCCTAGTTCTAAGAATGAATTAATATTTTCCCTGGACACTCATCAGAACTATTTGAAACGTAACATGCAACCATTAATTGCCTGTGTTTGCAGCTTGAAATAAAGATTAGCTACCTTCCATGTTACCCTAATTAAAGGGGAGCCTTTCTAAGGCTCAGAAAAAGCTAACAAATAAATAGGATGTGTAATAGTACAAATATCAAAAATGTGGGGGAAAAAAAAACAGTGAGAAAGAAAAAGAACAGAGGAAGGATTTTATAAAATGGCACAAATAAAGTTTATTTGTCAGTTATGGCAAAAGGGGTGCTTTTAAAGTAGTTATTTTCTGCTTGGTCTAGGTTTGACGCTGCTTCTAAGAACTCTTTTCTGCTTAAAAGATTTTCTGGAGCACAATAAAATACAGTTTAGTCTTTTGAACACAAACAGCTTTGAAAACAGCTTATTTGTCAGTGGGAAAAACTGGAGAAGATGCAGCTGGGCTGAGGATTAGCTGAACAAGTAGGAGTAACCTTTGCAACAGAAACTAGAGGAATGAAAAAAACTTACTACTACTATTAAACCACACACATGATTCAAAATTGTTACTATTTCCTAATCCTCTAAAATATATTATTTCCTTTAGTTGAAATAAAATTAAAACAAGCCATAAACAAACTGTAAACTGATTCTGTTTAATTGAACACATATTAAAATGTAATGGGTAAGCACAGAACCACACTGACAAGCCCGTTCATTTCAGGGGAGTTAAACTTTTTTTCTTACAGCTGAAGACCTTGCCTTACTGGTAGTAGTGTGACAACAGTTTAGATACATTGCTTGCAGGCACCTTTCTATCAAGAAAACTTCATGCTAGCTTATCACACTGAGATATGCAAAATGTAAACAACATCATTTACTCTGTTACTTCTTTCCATTTCAATCATATGCGCTGGATACTTCAAGAGGTTTCAGTTTTCTTATTTTATATTTTTATTTACATCATGTTATTGTAGAAAATAAAACAAAGAATAATTAAAAGGAAACCAATTCTATGATTTGTATTTTTTTAACTTTTATACAATTAGGAGAACCATTTTTTCACAGGACTTCTACAAACTATCATCCTTGCATAAATCTTTACTTTAGACATTACCCTCTGATTAACACCAAGTGTTTTTTTGAAAATTAGAAGATTCTACATATAATGAATTTCCCTTATCTATCATGGTAGTATATCTTCAAAGACGTCCACTAGATTATTTAAACACGAACTCCCATGCCTCAATCATTCCAGATATTTGCAGGCAAATATATACTTTTATGAGTGTTCTGATTTCATTCAGATTTTCCTTGATTTTTCTAAAAATCTAGTTATAACTTTCTTAACACCCTTTTGATGCAATGGGGTCATGTGATAAAAAGGCAGAAAAAAAGAGATACAGAATAAAATCAAAGAAAAAATTCATTTCAAAGCCTGTAATAAAACTATTACTGAGCTGTGCCAGACATTCAACAATTTGTTCTCTATTAATTCAAAATCTGCATTAACAGATCAGCTAGAATATTCTTCAGGCCACCCCTATGGCTCGGGTTTGCACTATTCTCTGTGTGCATACTTCAAAAAGCCTAGCAATGAAAACTGCAATTACGAACTGGTACAAATCCAGTTTTAAAATAAAATGCCATTGAATTCCAATTTATGTAGGCACTACGTTGTTCAGGTTCTTTGGCCATGAGCCAAGAGAGCTGAAAATGAAGTTCAACCATCAAGCTGGGAGATCTATGAGTTTTCTTGTTTAGATGAGTTGCTGACTGGCTCTAAAGAGATGCTGCACTGGCTCTGCACCCTGGGCGTATTTTTTTTGTCAAGTTTCCCCACCACCACTACTCTCTTTAAGCACAACTGAAAATTTAAAAATACAACAAAACAGGGATGCCTGTCTGTACACAAAGTACTTGTAGTAATATTTTATCTGAGAGTTTCATAAGCTGACAGAAAGGAAAATGCATTTAAATATGGATATGTTTTAAGACAAAAATCATTAAACTTGGGTCATTTACCCTCTCATACCTGTTTAAAGAGTTGAAGATTAACAGCAGTTTCCAGGAACTGCTTAGTAGTACTGGAACGATGCTTCACAAAGCTATTCTCACAGAAAGTTATAGGCTCTCCCTAAAAAATTTAAACAGAAAAAGTTAGATGATAATTAAAGTATAAAAATATGCTGATTTATTTAAAATTCTCCATTACAAATTTATTTATTTATTAATAGTCAATACATACAAATATTCCCTTTCAAGCAATCTTGATAAACACGCATCCAATTAAACACACGTAGACAACAACAACAAAAAAATCCCAAAACCTTCATGCAATACTTAAATAGTTTTCAAAATACACGTTGCAATTGAAACTGGTTTATGAAGTCAATCTGCAAAATACACATTGCAAGGAAAAAGTCAGGGGTTTATGGCTGGTTCATACTACTTTTATAGCACTCTTCATTAAAAATTTCAAGCAAGTGGTTCAAATTTTGAGGAAGAGCAGATCCACTGGTTCAAATAATTTAACATGTATTATTGTTCAGGATTGCTCTGATTCCCTGGCATGCAAAACCAGCAATACTAGTAAACCAAAACTCTAATTCAGTCCAAACTCATGTATCTGCACCAAATTATTTTTATATTTATTCTACCAAAAAACATAAGATTGATATACTGCTGATTTAACAGGAAATTATTGAAATACACATCTATTTTATTTTTACACAAAACAAAAAATACAAACTTTCTGGAACACTGTCATGGAGAAAGTCTGAACAGATGAGTTTAACATTTAATCTCATTAGTATTTCCTAAACATGGGAAAAGAGCATGGTCTACAGTTACCAAAAACCCTGCATCAAAACATTCTGAAGATGAAAGAAGATAAACAAAGTATTCACTAAAAATGAAGTGTTTGTAGAAAAAATTGTAACTGGAACCAGCACTCATTTAAAAATAAAAGATGTTAATACTATTATTTATAAACAATCAAATTGACTCCTATGTTATTCCCCAATTTCATTTAAAATTTTTTATCTTCCATGTGCACAGACAACTGGACATTTCTGATGAGCATTCTCTCCAATTTTGTTTTTATTACCAATATTTTATGACAAATATTTGAAGCTGTTTGACTTAACTGGATAGATACGTTACAAAGTTTGTGCAATGATTAAGGTACATAAACTGATTTCATCATAAAGCCAAAAGGCCTCTCACTCAAGTTTACAAAACCAAAATAATTACCAGATTAGAAACAATTACCAAACGTCTTAAAGACAGAAAATTTGAAATCAAACAAAATGCCACACCTAAATCTACCACAGAATATTCTACTACCCAAAAGCTACATATAAAGTGCAGTCCCACAACAGAATAAAAGACATCTCATTCATTCAAAAGGAAAGAGATCAAAGACAGCTTCTATATTGATCTTCACAATAGCTCCAACTGTTACCCACTTTAAAGACAAATTTATTCATGCCCATGATCACCACAGCTCTTTGCTCCTAACCCTGTTTAACCGCACATGCTACTGCACACGCTTTCCTATCATTTTGGCTGACTGTGCAGTTATGTCCTTCCAGAATATCACAAACGATTTTCTGCTGTGACCCAGGTGAGTTAGATGGAGTAGTTCTAAATCATTTTCAACTGCTTTTTACACCTTGCATGTTGTTTTTAAATGGTTCGAGTATGATCCAAGGAAATGTTGCAGTAAAAACACTGTGACGTCATTTAAAAATCCTATTCTTACAAGATCAAAAGCTTCCCTCTTTTGAGAGGTTCAATTCTCCTCAGCAAAGCACTGAAGTTCATGATTAAGATTTACATTCTTACTTCTTTATGGAACCTCTAGTTTTAGAAATCTCAGTGGAAAAGCTAGAAGCTATACAGTTACCTAACATGATCCTTCCCCTTTCACAGGGTAGCTGGAATGCTGTGATATGCAAACCCAGTGCTACCCAATATGCAGCACTGCGTCAATCAAGTCTCCAGGAGAAGCAACCAAATTACTCCACCTACTACTTACCCAAGATACCTGGTGAACACTGTACACATGCAGGACATGCTGGATCTGTCAAATAGCTTGAACTGTTCGTAGTACTTTAAACAGCTCTGCCTTCCTGACCCACTTCGCATTAGCTGTTCTTGAGCTCCTAAAGACTCTTGTCTTAAGAAGATGACCCCAAGCTACTCAGCAGATTCAAAGTGCATCAAAACAAATGAAACAGTCTCCAATGAGATATGGTGGTACAAGACACAGTGTTCCTGAGGGCAGACTTTCTTCTCAGTTCTGTCGTTCTTCCAAAAAAATTTCCAGGCAGCAAATTGTAACAACTCCTTATTTTATATATATGTGTGTATATATATATTATTTGTTGTTGTTACATAAAGAAATGATTTCTGGAAATACAGAGGTTTTGTGGGAGTATTTGTTGTTGTTACACAAAGAAATTATTTCTGGAAATACAGAGGTTTTGTGGGAGTACAGAACTGACTAGATGATGGCTCATGACATACTATGAAACATTAAATTTAGGACCAAAGAGAGAAAATAGTATTTTCAAAATATACTATTTAGAAAAATAAAAACTAAGCTATGACTCCACTGCCACTTTCCCAATTGCCTCGGGAAAGATGAAAGAGAAAAAGGAGAGGTTATCTCCCAGCTGAAGAGAAAACAGGCATTCTTGCTCTCCCTTTCACATCAGCCTGGGAAGAGGGAGCAGTCAGATAGTTCTACTTGATGGCATGTCTCCCGCCCGAGCCACGTAACACCAGGAAATGGTAGTTCAACACAGTTTTTAGTGCATGGCTGCAGTATTTTCCCAAATACTTTTCTTTAATCACTGGATGCTTCAGATACTTAGCAAGCACTCATGCATTGGTGTATCTGTTCCTTATCAGCGCAGTTCAGAGACAGAATAACCAAAGCTATTCCTTAGCTGAAGATTTATTTAGATCTATAAAGCATTCACATCCAAAAGCCATCTACATTATTTGAATCTACTCATAGCAAGGTTGCTTTAAAAATTTGAGTAGGTGTTGTTCACATCCAAAAGCCATCTACGTTATTTGAACCTACTGATAGCAAGGTTGCTTTAAAAATTTGAGTAGGTTTAAGGCTCCTACCTGTTCAGCACATGAAAATGAAAAAATCTGTTAAAACCTGCAGAAATTCCCCACTGAAGTTTTCTCAGGGTATTTGCTGTAACTTTACTGAAATTGCATTAAATAAAACAATTCTAAAACTAGCTCTTTTATTTGTTCAAGGCTCTGAACAATAAAATTGTTTTCCAAATAAAACTTTTACAAATATTCAAGATTATTACTGTAAACATGAAGCCTTTTGAAGTGCTGTTGAAAAAAAATAAATTGTTGAATCAATATAAACAAAAGTAGCTCTGGAAGTTTTCACACATAAAGCTTATAACATTCTCGTTTCTGCAAATACAACTGGGTACCTTCAGAAACTGAGTTATGGAGGAATGCTCCACTGATATTTAACTACTAGACCATCAAATGGTCCCTGTCATATTGATCTACAATGTACTTTCAAAACAAGTTCGATCAAAACCCAGCAGGGACTCTATACTGAAAAGTAGACAGCAAATACTCAGACCAAACAATCTATGCCCAAACAAGATACCTGTCCTTTTAACAACAGTTGCTGTAGAATTTTCCTCCCCTTTCATAGCTTGCCACACACAGCAGGAATTTTTTACTCAAAGCCACATTCACACTTTAAGCAAGCTATTTATACAGACCTCAACAGAATGTGAAAATGTTGAGCTGAAACAGCATGATCATTTTAAAAGGAAAAATAATCTAGATTAGAAGGTATGTTTGTGCTTTCTAAATCTAGTGTTATTTAACCCAAACAAGAAGTACAAGCATTTTAAATCTTTATTTCAGAAAATATATTCACATCTCTCTAGCATGAGATGACTAATACCAACTCTCTGTACTATTGCTGTAATTAATACCGTTTCAAATGGTAGCTCTTAATTATGACACGAAGAGTATAAGGTACATACTACAGGCATAGCTTCTTTGTTTTTTGTAGTATTTTTTAAAAAAGCCAAAATTTTAAACACCATTTTGGTTTTGATATTAAAATTCCTCTGATTAAAATCAATGAAGTACAAAGCTGAAATTTCATCTGTTGTCATGACATTCAGAAGCCAGGGGATAACTGAGTACGACCTATGTTTCGGCTCAGGAAGGTACGACTTAACATTACAAACAAATTTCTGCAAAATTTCCAAATTCCTTGCAGTCTACACAAATAAAGATTCAGATATGCTGAAATTTCTTATAATCACAAATAAAACCTACAACACCTATTAATACAGTATCTGTATTCAATAAAGGATTACTAATGTCCTTAAGACAAACTAAAAAATACGGTCTTCAACTTGTAAAATAGATCTATCTTATAGAAGTCACAATAAATAATCATAAAAGATATAACCCAGGGTGGGTCTGGATTTAAACACAAACTATTTTTCTTGCACTTCATGACTCTCTCTGTTTCTCTACTTTGCTGGACTTTTTATGCCTAGCTCTTGGGGGAAAGGTAAACAAGTCAATGCCCATTTCAAGAGATATCTGTCCTCAAAAGGTTTCATTTTGAAACTAATTTATAAGCAATTATTACTTATGCATTCTCAAGTAATTCAGGTGTATTCTGAATCTCAAAATACCTTTTTTTTTTCTTAATATAACATTCAATTGTAGTTGTTTGCTTTATTATATATTGAATGCAATACCTGCACCTCTTTGAGAGTTGATGTCACTACTTAAAATAGTGTCAATATTGGCCCAAAGCACTTCAGTTAGCATTCAATTAAAGCGAAGTCTGACAGGTTGTGCTATCTTCAAGCTGGAAGTTATCTCGGCACCCCTGGTGTGCTGATGAGACCATAAACTCCTACTGCTAAGCATTCCAGAGCAAGCCATTAGCCTTTGCTCTTCATTTCTTAATTTCTGATGACTGATGTTACAACCATCATGACTTAAAACAAAGTTATCCTGAGTTTATTTCTCTTGTTGTAACATCAAGATCTTTGAGGACTTTTTCCACAAAAAAGGTGATTTTTTTCATTAACTTAATATTTTGTTAGCTAATTCTAATTCTTGAAGAAAAGCTGCTTTTTCAAAGTTATAGAAAATAAGTTATTGTTGCTTATATTCCATAATCTTTAAATAGATGTGTCATAAAGTAAGAGGATTTATTTCAAATGCATTTTCTTGCCATGATGAATTACCTTTTTAAAAAAAAAAAAAAAAAATCACAGTTACATATTATCCTGATGTTTGCTGCCTAAAAGCAAACAGCTTTTCTGCTCTGCTTATTTTCCTGATGACATTAAAATTAACCTCTATTACAGTGAATACTTTTGTACTTATTATTTTTCTGCTCCTTCCTCTTCCTCTTACCTACCTTTCCCTCTCTAGACGTAGATTGTCAGCAGAAATATTGCCTGTTTAGGAATTCTTTACAGCATATAGTGTTTTATTAACTCATCATTCTATATACGACTAATGAAAAAATTTACTAGTCTTTGCTTTCATCTGCACAGTTTGCACAAGTACATGTGTAAGGCTCATTTTCACTAGCCGTCACAGTGTGGTTAAAATGTTTGACTGGCCTGGCTCTTGTCTGATAAGGAAGGATGCCTAAAAATGACCCATGAAGAATGTACAAAGTAAAATAGCTAGGAAAAAACAACACTGCACATACACTGGTTGTGTATGACACAAACTGCACAATTGCAATCTTTGTATCTCACTCCCACCTACGCAAGCAATTCTTTATCACGGAACATGCAATCCTTATTCCACAATGAATTCTCAAATGCTGGACAATGTAAAGAAAATAGGAGCAACAAAAAGTTCCAGGCTAAGTTGTGACCACCCAAAGTAAACATAATTTGGATTTGTATTTGCATTTAAATGGTATAGGAAGCACTTATGTCACAACACTCTGATCATTCCAACGCCTCTTGTGATCAAAACTGTTTGTGATCACTAATATTGCAGATGGCACAAGGGCTCACACTGCAGTTGCTACCTGGGGGAGTACAACCATCCACGGACCACTTGCCCTTCTATATGCCAGGGCTCCTTATAGCAAAACAGTCCGAATGGCCCTTTGCCACTGCTGTAGCTCTGTACTGCTGGAAACACACCACACCTTCAAAGTCCATGCACGTTACCCTATCAAAATGGATTGCAGTCCTCTATGTGAACGGGACCATATACAAAAACATTCTAATATGTTATTCCACTGATGATTATTTTGTTCTGGATTATTTTTTGGTCATTTATCAAATGACAATGAAGTAAATGAGGATGAAAATCTGTTTTATTTTCTTTTTCTCTTCCCTACCAAAATTTTGGAATGGTGGTAAGACAGTAAAAGAGATCATATACAGAAATTTTTCAATGATCGCCATCTACCATGCCTTAGCTGGACTCCTTCTGGATTAAACTAAAGCAGCTAGTCACGGGGATTCACTACTCAACACCAGACTAAAATACAAACGACAATAAAGCTAGAAATGCACACCGTGTGAATGTCGGGTCCTTAGCAGCAACCGTACTGTTTTTCCTCTACAGATCCTCTACATCCTCCTATTACGCAGTATTTGCTATTTTAAAGTGTAGCATACTACAAAAATACTTTGGGCAGTTATAACAATTTGACTTTAATTCAGTATCCTGACTAAATCAGAAAAAACAACTATTTCCACTTTTCTTGGAAACTTTTATTGGATTAAGATTTTTATTACCATTTATTACACAAAAAATATAATCACCGTTATCTATTACATGTCATATATCCTGTCTGGATTAGAGTAGTCAAATTTTCCATATGGTCTTTTGGAGTCCCATGAACTCCTTCCAAGACCCCTGAAGCTTCCCATTTTCCCTTTCACCAATCATTTTTTTTCAATAATTGCTAGACGTTTGTTCAAGACATATTGCTATACCGAGGAGAATCTGTCCTATGCTGAAAACAAACAGTTGCACAGAATGAGTGTTCAGTGTGATGAACAGGGTTTGGAGTGAAGAGAAGTGTTGGAAGAGTACAGACACTATCAAAGCTGTTCTTTACTCAAAGTGAATATTAATGACAGTTGTTTCATGTTTCAAGTTAAAATCATACAGAACACACTGTTGCAAGGAAAATAGTTCACTTAAACATATTTTTCAACTTACAAGCAATTGATAACTATCCAAACACATAATTTTATTTTTCATCAGGATGTTTGCAATCCTAAAAATGGTACCCCAAAACCTCTCAGTTATTGATTCTGAAAATACAAGCCTATTTATAGATAAAGTATTTCAGATCTATATAGAAAATATTCTCATTTAAGTATACCCCCTACAAATTTTCTACATGAATACTACTTGAAGTCCTGAAAGAATGTAAATAAAGACGATAGATGTTGTTTAGATTTCCTTATTAGATCTAGCACCACAGAATCCAAAACAATGGGTAGTATTTTCTTTGCAATAACAATTCCCAAGTTCTGAGACTCCTCACAAATGGACTAATACAGTCAGATGTGATTTGATTTTTTAAACTTCCCAATTCACAATGCATTAAGCTGAGTTTAAAGTTCAAAAGGCTGATGTAAATTGAGTTGAATAATCATGGGACAACTCCTCTTAGTTTCTACTAATCCAGAACAAATTCAGTTTCTAATAAATATTTTTATTACAACAAAATACTGTAAAATACTAAAATCAGTTAAAACAATGTAAACAGAGCTCAAAATAACAGTTACACTTTTTTTTTTAATTCGCTTTGTCTTTGGACAAGTTGATGCCAATCCAAGATATGTTGGTATTTGCCAGCAGACTTCTGCCTGTTAAAATATTCTGAAATAACATATCTTTAAAAAAAAAAAAAAAAAAAAAAAAGAAGAAAACCACCAGGTCACAATGGTTTCATAAAAATCTTCTTTTATATGCAATCATTGGAGCCAAAAAAAAAAGGGGGGGGGGCAAAAGAAATAATGCAGAAAGAAAGACTGCAAAGGTCACTTTGACAAATGTTTGCCAGTTGAAATGATGTATGGTGCACTACTTCCAGTACAGTGCAAATGTAGATATCTCAGATATGCCAGCAGATAAAGAAAAAATAAAATGGAAATCAGTTAAAAGGAGAGATCACTTCAACAGAGATGCTAACCAGAATGCTAAAGAACTTGCACATTCAGTTTAACAAATTTACCAAGACAAAAGGACTGACTGGAGCCTACTTCTGGTTAGAATAGGTAAGGACATCAACCAGACTGACATCATTCTGTCTGCATATATCACTTGTAGATTAAAACACTTTTTGACTTAACTTACTGCAAGCTGCCATGATTTGACACAGTCCAGTGTCCTCACCTTTAGACTAACCGACAAATTAGATAAGCCGTCCTGAAGCAATGTTAGGCAATGCCACTATGGAATAAACATCAATTATCTGTTTAGTTGGAATTAATTTTTTTAATCAAATGGTACTGCATTGTACTCAAGTAATTTTCAAAACAGGTACAGTCATTTCAATATTGTATGCAAACTGGCTTTCCATATCATAAGAAAACTGTAACTACTGCTAAACACAAATACAAGAACTAAACCCTTAACCATTAATTCATTTCTGCGTAGATTACTTTTCATCTCAGTAACAATTGTTGTCAGGGGCACAGACAGCTAGCGTGTAAAATGCTCATGGCAAAAGAGACTACCTGTAAAAGAACCACTTCAGTAGAGGGGACACTTCCATACTGTATTTTAATGTTTCCTCCAGGAAAAGGCCTCATCTGGAATTAATAACTATCCTATCCATTTCCACCAAGGAATACCAGCTAGTTCCTTACTCTATGACAGAATATACTGCCCTCCTCACCCCCAGACAAACATGCACCCACACACTCACACACCCACCAGTTGTAAAAACTTGACGCCTTCAACAGGGATGATTTTCTCCTATCAAATCTCAATATTTATCTGAAAGGCACAGCCTCTTCAGTTCTTCACCACAATAAACCAGGTGAGCTGTGTGTAAGTAGCTTGATTAATACAATCTGATTTTATATTAAATAAATTATTGAAGTGATACACATGAAAAGATAGATGACTTGGGATGAGTATTTATTTTTCAGTACAAGTCACCATCAGGAGGTGGTAGTGTCTTCTAAATTGCCAACATGTCCTTAGCATAGAATAAGATTTAAACCATTTTCTCTGAAATGTTTCAGACTGGGATAAAACATCTCATATTTTCCTTGCAAAGAAAGCAACTGTGCTCTTATAAATTTAGGGAAAAAAAAAAAAAAAGAAGAAAAGAAGCAGCCTTACTGGTTTGTATCTTAGTGCATCTCTGTAGGATCCAAACAGCGCTGCCTGTGCCCGAAGGAAGGCCTTGGCTACTCCATCACCCGTAGCTGTAGACTGCTTTTTCAGTTTACTTTTCAAGGCCGAGACCTGCATGACAGAGTGGAACAGTTAAATTAACACCTCAGAAATTGGTACAGCGAGGTATGAACCCAATCAGCAGGCAAACCGTGGTGTCTACAGGTCAGCCAAAAATTCATCCTCCTCCTTGATAGCTTATCTTTTTAACTGCAAAGAGCACCTGCTGGTCTGTTAATTGAAATGAAAGCAGGGGATGATGGTAGAGTGCTAATGCAAATTGGTTTATGCTCTCTTTTTTTCCCAAGGCCTCTTGACATAAATAAGCTTAATTATTTTAAAGTAAACCGCATGTGAGCCACTTTTCTGTGGATTTTTTTTTTTCTCAATCATAACATGTACCTACTTGTTTTGAATGAAGACAGTTGGACATTTCTTATTTATGCTAAGAAGGATAAGGATTTTAAGGATTCTTAATGGTAACTTACTATTGAGTTTTAGGGATTTTTTTTTTTTTTTAAGTGGAACTACTATCTTACATAATTTCTCATGCACTGTGGGAGTAGCTGCTACCACTGTCAAACAGTTGAGAAAAGTTTGTGTAAATTCAGTGATACATTGTCTTTAGAATTGTCCTAGAACATAAAACATAGGAAAGGGGAAACAAGTAAGAATAATACTTATGAGTACCTTTAGTTAAAAAAAATAAAAAAATCATTCTTATTTTAGCGCTTAACTTTTTGGGTTTTTAAAGGAGTTTTTTGGTTTTTCTTACTTGGCAAACAGCAATCACTGATTATACAGAATTGGAAAAAAATTAGAAATACTAATTTAGATGATGCTACTTGGAAATACTTTGGATAAAAATCATGTAACTATGGAATTATTACAGATTTTTTTTAAGATATGTAGAATTACATCCGGTTATAGTCTATAGTCTCAGTTTCAACATGTCTGATACCTGGAGAAGTCAACTCCCATTACGTTGGATACATGTTTCTTTATCTCATTGTACTGCAATATACCCGTGTCCTGGTCACGGCGGGGATAGGGTTAACTCTCCCCCATCTCTGGCAGGGACACAGATACTCCACACTGTGCCATGCCCAGTCTGTAGCCAGCAACTGGCCGGGGATGGGGCAGAAGTCCTGCTTGGGAGTGGGCTGGGGCAGCTGGGTCCAAGTTGGTGAGTGGTGGGACCATCATCGTGTTTGTACATTCCTCCATCAGAGTTATTGTTGTTTTCTTGTTCTCTTTGTATTGTAATACACTCACTAAAGCAATATTTAAGATGCTAAAAACTATACGAAGTAACATTAGAGTTATTCTTTAAGCAGAACATTATAAACACAAACTATCACCAAAACAGCTTTCATTCTCATAGAAATATACGCAAGAATGAGTATCTTTTTGTTTCTTTATGCAAGCAGACCTGACTGCTCTTGTAGATGATGATTGTAATTGAAGTGTCAACCTAATTAACAACTAAACTTTGAATAATGCTAATGAGAACTGAACATGGCATCAGAGAAAAGACCAGCTCTACAGGTGATAAACCTTCACAGTAGTGACATTTTCCAGTGTAAAGTCACAGTTACTGTGATCTGATCAAAGAGAGAGACCCCCATTGGGTCCAATTATAACTATAGTTTTGAAAAAAAAAATTATTGAGTTATGATGTTCATAATCTATGCAGAAAGGCCTTTACAGTATAGGTCTTTTCCCCATAGCTGTGATCTTTTCAATTTATATCCAAGCTCCATAGATCTAGATAAAAGTTTAGAGCCTGATTCATTTAGCCCATGGAAAGCATACACCAAGGCTCATTTACGTTTTTCCCTCAAAAGAAAAAAAAAAAAAAGTACAAGTCTGAGTACAAAAAACAGCTAAGCAGTTCAAGAAAAAAAATAAAAGAATGCATGTCTTGGTTTTAAGTTTTCTGGTTTTGTTTGGGAGGGTTTTTTGTTTGTTTGGGTGTTTTGTTTTGGGTGTTTTTTTGTTGTTTTTTTTTTTTTTCCTGTACTGTACTGTATATCCATTGTATAAGGAAAATGCACCCATCAACCTTAGCTCAATTTCACTAAAACAAAAGTAGTAATATGATGTCAAAAAAAGAATTGTCGATGTTAAAACATTATCTCTGTCAAGACAAATAAAAAATCTTCTAAATATAAGGGACAGAAATGGTAGAAAATTCTCTACATTCTTTTACATCTACATTCTTCTATATTATATCTTGTGAATTTGGGGAAATAATGGCAGACAATAAGACAGGGTCAGAGATGAAAGGCGTCAAGATGATGTAGAGCAGAGGAATTACAGGACAAAGTGGGGGATGTGAAGGAAAATGGTATTTTCTGATTTTCTCAGTTCTGGCAGACCCTATGTAGTCTAACATGAATTGATAAACAGGATGCTTCAGGCAAAAACATGTTAAAAAGAACAATAGAAAGCAATAAATCTCCCTCTTCACTGTAGTATTGGTACTATTAGTTCAACAATATTAAGAACATCCCAATGGGCTGGCAGTTCGAAGGTGGATTCTCCAGCACAAAAACCTCTAAGTCAGATGCACATTTTTTGTGCTGTCATCCTGGAGGGAGGTTCTACCCTCAAACAGAATACGTTGGAATCCAAAGAAAGTTCTTCCAACTTCTACTTCTCTCAGGAGGCTATGCTAAAAGGCAGGAAGAACTCTCTCAGATAATTCTGCAGCAGTAATAGGAGCACAGTGCTCTTAAGAAAAAGCCTGCAGAAATAGTGTACACCACAACCCTGATTTCCCAATCATTACAACCGAATTCCTGGCTGAAGCACTCCTGAAGCACCCTTGAGACCTGCATAGGTTTCCTTCAAGCTGAGGTCAGCAAATATAGATACAGACGGACAATGCGTTCTCTGGACTTATCCCACGACCGAGCGATGGCAAACCCAAGCTGCACATTTGGGTAGGTTGCTGGCAAATTCTCCCAGTGCCACAGTTTAATCAAAGCTAGCGTGATAAAGTAGTTATTACAGTCAATACAGTAGGTACAGATAAGACACTGGGTGCTTTGAACTACTGAGAAGGACTTGGTGCACAGCAGGATTGTGATTTCTTAGATCCATGAACCTAAAACCAAGGAAGTGTGACACCCTGTTGGGTGACATCATTAATAGCTCTTAAAATTTCAAAGAAAATCCACAGTTCTGGCACAAAACCAAGAAAATACCAAGCAGCATTTTTATCAAAATCTTTTCCTCATATGTGCTTTAATCCTTCTATCTATCTATGATTAAGAATGCCAAACTTTTTTTCTACCCTTCATTGCATGTCTTAAAGTTTAAAAATAAATAACTGCAAACAAACCAACCACAGGGGTTAGAATGCTGTTAAAATTTATTTCTGGAAGACACTAGTGATCCGTTTCAGAAATGGTATTATTAATTTACACTAGAAGCAAACTGGTTTCATCTTCTCCTAGCAACGGCTTCTCATAGGAAGGTGACTTCATTGGTAGTTAAACACTACCAATGAAGAACACTCAGCTTCAGGAAGGTTTAAATCAATAGAATATTTTTTTAGAGATGTAGAAAGTCATGAGATTGATACATGATTTTTCTTTCTATATAAGTAAGTATATCTAACATGCAGAAACATATTGTGCTGGTCATAAAAAAAATATTATTTTTTTAAAATAGTCACCCTATGTCCTTTTTAAGATTCTTAAAATATAAGTACCTAATCAGAAACAAAGCATGACTAATATCTCTTCAATATTCATGTGAGTGGAAGAATAGAACTGCACATAAAGTTAAATTAATAAAATGATGTAGCTATTAATCAAAGCCTTTGTGCCTGCAAAAACTTAAGCACACATATAAATTTAAGCATAAATAGAAGTATTCAAAATGTTTGTTGCCTGAGTAATGGAGAACCATGCACTGGGAATGACTATTAGATCTCAGAAAAAAATATATCCAGGTATGTTTCTGGTATCAGTGACAGTTGTTATGTTTTAAACTATTTTTGGTGTTCCCCATCAGATCATGTCACTATAAAAGTAAGCCTCCTCTCAACAGCAAGAAAGTGAGAGAAGGTGGCAAAAAAGAGAAACAAAAACACAAAATAGAATGTGATATGATTTAAATCAGTATCGTTAATGAAAGGGCTTCTACGTGCTTGATATTGTCTACACACACACACACAGGATTTAGGCATCTCAGTCCTCCAGCATTTAATCACAAAACAAATACACCTAATTAAATGCAAGTGCTTTCAAAACTAGTTATATTTTTCAATCTCATGTTCTAGCTTCTAAAACTATACCGAGTTTCAAAAGAATCTCAACTGTAAGACTTTATTCAAAATAAATAGTTGCCCCGTAACACTGCAAACGCTGCTGACTGCTCTGAGTTTCTAAAATACATTAGTAATATTTTTTGGCTATTTTCAGCTGGGAAAACTGAATAAATTATGATACTTAAATTTTACAAAAAATGTTTTTAGTTGCACTGTTACACATTGACCATAACTTCTTTATACTATTAATCACCGTATTTTCAGAAATAATTTGCACTCCTAATTGTTTTATAAAGTAACTGTTCAATTTTCTATGTGAATTACAGCCTACTTCTCAAATGCTATTTTTAGAACAGTAATGTTCATACACCCAATTTACGGTGTTAAAATTCTGTGACTTTAGGAATCTCAAAACTAAAACTCTAAAAAACCATTTAGATTCTGCATTGCATCATAGTGTGTAGGCACCACACGCTACAAAGGCTATGCATCTTTCAACAGCTCCGTAGATTTTACAGTTAACAGTATTTAACAACCACAGAAGATGCTAGGTACCTATAAATCCTATTATTTTCTGAAGATCATAATTATAAAAGTTCTGCTTAGTCTAGGGAGAAGTCAGTAAGACTTGGTTGCTAAACGTGACGTCCTCAGTTCTCCAAGCTTTTTTTGAAAGTGTTCAATTTGGAGCAAAGGAGTAGTCTTTTTGTCAGTTAACTGCAAGTAGGTATTGCAGAATAAGGCCCAAAGTTTATAAATTTGTGTCGATGGTCTCTGTTAATTTACATACGCCACAAATGTTCTTTGTCTAACATCTTACACTATTGAAGTGGTGATCTAATTATTGTATTAGAAGATTTACTTCCACAGAAGTGGCTACTGATTTTCATTTTTTTCTAATTAAAAAATAATACACAAATTCACAGTGAAATGATGAAATTCAAAAACAAGTGTTCTTGTCAGAAGAGAGGAAAAAGAGGGAGTTTTTCCCCCGTCTATGAAAACAAAGGATTCCTGAAAGTCTTGCCCTGATTTATTTTTCCAATTTTAAATACCTTAGGAGTAGCGGAACTGCTACTGGCATGGTAGTATTTCTAACAGTCAATAAATCTAAAATATTATGTGTGAATATTGGAATGAAGCCATTAAGAAGATTACAGCATGCAACGCAGCAGAGGGTCCACATGAAAAAAGGACTGGTAATTCAGGACAACTGTGACCACTGACCTTTGCACAGTCAAGACCACTGGTCAGTCTGACAGAATAATAGAGTTCACATGCATAGAAAGTCACCTAGCCTGTAACTATAATTTAAATGCTTAAGTGAATGATTTAAAAATACCTTTAAATCTCAGTTAATTTATTATACAGTTTATTAGACAATGCCATATAATAATGTTTTTTCAATCTTAAATTTATCATGGAAAAAAAAATCACAGTCAGAGCATTTTAACAGACACGTTACTTATACATGGGTAAACTATTAAATACCTATGCTGCGAGGACATCATCAGGCTTATTGATCAAGAAAATAATTAGTCCATTTCCTTCAGACACAAGAAACAGTTTTAGAAAACTCTTTGAAAATGCTGCGTTTCTTTTGTTAGGCTGTTAACCAACCTGGAATCAATTTTTGAAAGGGATAGTAAGACTAGAGCTTCTTTTGCGTTTTCTGTTCTTCTTTCTATACTAACACCCTTAATGAGAGGCACTCATTATATTTTTTTCATCAGAAGTTTTAGTACCTTTGTATGTATGCTCATGAGGTTAATTTATATAGGTTAAAATGCTTCACATATATAAGTATCTTTGACATTTGCTTTTAATGTGTTAAGTTTAACTCACCATTATGACTGTACACTCCTATGTCTTACACTTTTCACTGAGATGTTAGCAGTTGCACTGTCCCTCATGAATGCAAAAGGCAGACAAGCATTTTGTCATTTTATGAGCCAAACACGGACGTTGTCTGTGTCTTTTGTTACCAGGTTTTCCAACTATAATTTCAAATGTTTTCCGTTAAATTGTTTTCATTAAAGTGCTTTACACATTGAAGTAGAGGATGAAATGGGAATATTAAAATTAAAAGCTTCATTATAAAATCCTCAAATTCTGCAAATATATTTTACATTAATCATAGTTGTTCTGTTTTGTTCTGTATTAGTTATGGAATAAAATATTTTAACCCTACTGCACAGTCTAAACACTTGGATAATCTTCATTAACATTAATAATAGTAAAATGCATATGTCCTGGGGGAGAACACACTTCTAAAGGTATGAAGATCTGTATCCCTATTTTCTTCATGCTAGCCTACTCATTTAGAGATCATTTTGATATGCATCTATAAGATACATAAGAAGTCTCTCTCATTGCAGAAATATCCATTTTTCCTGTTCGAAGGACCCTGAGCTACAACTCCAGTGTCTTATGGAACATGATGCCTAATTCTCAATTCTAACTGTTATTTGACAAGAAGTATGTACCCCCATGACATTATAACCTCAACCTTATTCACTGAATGCAAGGTCAGTTAAAATTACTGACACACCAGAAAAGGGCTCATTTTTTACTTAACTTGTTATACTCTCCAGTGATAGAGTACAGTCAAAATTACTGGAAATGTGTGTGTGTACTTTTTCATGCACTAACATAAAATCACAAAACATCAGAATAATTTTCTGATGTTGATACTGAGTCAAAAGAAAGACTGACCAGATGATCTATAAAAGGTTTAGATTTTAACATTATTAAAATCAAAGGGAACTGACATTAATATAATAATCAAGAGTTTGATTTCTATTGTACCAAATATATACAAATTACCAACAAAAACAAAGGACACAGTATGTCACTACAGTGCCTTACTTTGATTAAGACAGTTTGTTTTTATGATTTACAATTTCAGAAAATGTAACGCTTTGATTTTACATTTTGATATAAAATTCTTTGTGCTGACAACCATTTGTGATAGCTTAAGCATCTATAACAATAATCAAAACAGTGGTTTCACAATGATACTCTTTTAGAGCTCTACTGGGAAAAACAAAGTAAGTGAATTTTGTGACTATTTAATATGATATACAGAATATGTTCCCCTATAGGCAATAAGAAAAAGAAAAAGGGGGGGGGAAGGGGGGACACGACACCCTCTGCAAGATCAAAGTCCAGAAAGAACTGGCACTTAATTTATCATCCTTTACAGACAAAAGACAGTTTTCGTCATTTCAAAAGGATCAGATGTCTTTTATGACAAACTGGGTTTGCAGTTTAATTTACAAATAGAATTCTAAGTAAGCAGTCTTTGCTCTGCCAAAGCAAATGACAAACAGTATAGGTTTTCATTCACTCAGCCCTCAGCAGGATAGAAGAGATTAAAATAAAACTGAAATAATTTAGAGAAAACAAATAAATGTTTCAGAAAGTTGAAGAAGATCAAAGCCTGAATTTTCTGACCCCAACTGTACAAGCATTTCTTATTATATTGACCAGTGCCATCAGATCATTAATTAAAAGGAAAGCGCTGGCAGGTGGCAGGGAAGCAGAAGCCGATAATTGGCCCCCTTCTTCTTTTTGCCTTCAAAAACTCTCTCGTTCTTTTGCAAGACATGCCACTAGGCAGACAGAAATGCCTACTTTGTAATATAATGATTAAGATGAGATGAAGAGACTCTTGCGTTTAAAGCAGCTATGCCTAATGAATGCAGCTAGCTTTATAATTATGATCCTACTTTTACAATAAGGAATATGATGTTCCATTCAACATCTACTCAGCTGTCAAAAAGGTAAAAATCTCAAATATAGGGGTCTGCACTTGGTGCTTTTCACCCCCTTATTCCTTTTACAGCAGTTAGCAAAACCAGGCAAAAATAACTACTAGTAATTCAAGCACCTATATAAGAAAGAAAGAATGAAATATCTTTAAGACTCACCACTTCACCAGGTAGGTTGTTCAGGTCATTAAAAGGGGTTTCTAGAGTGTTTGTGTCAACATTTAGCAAAACCACATCCTCCAGCGATCTATTTTTTACTCTCTGTTAAGAGAAAAAAAATATCGTGGAAAAGCATTTTACTATGGCATTCTCCTGAAGTACATTTTTCTTATAATGTGTTAGATTAGAAACGATGATTTTACAAAGAATAATAATGGCAAAAAACAACATTTTGAGCCTTAGATCTAGGATTTGTGAATTAGGCACGGGATTCACAGTAGCGATTAAAAACACTTCCTCTTCATTAAATAGTAAGGTTACATTAATAATCTCTGAAATACAAGCATAGTCAAGAAATGAATTCTTGAAAGCTAAGATTTACAAAAAAGAGAGTTAAATATATTGGAACTATGCATATCCTATAATAACATCTCATTCTCTCATATTTGTGGAAGATAGGATGTTAATCATATAATCAAATGAAAAACAGAGAAAACTATGTAATTATGTGCAGATTTATGTAAGTCCCAGGTATGTGATAACTACTAGTATTATAGAAGAATGGATGAAACAATCTTTCATCAGTGAACTTGACCAGCAGCTAAGAATTAATTTGTTCCTTTCAGGATGTCCTGGTTTCAGTTGGGATAGAGTTAATTTCCTTTCTAGTAGCTGCTGTGTTTTGAATTTAGTATGAGAATACTGTTGATAACACTGTTTTAGTTGTTGCTAAGTAATGTTTATAGTAAGTCCAGGACTTTTTCAGCTTCCCATAGAAGCTGACAGGGTGCAGAGACAGGACAAACTAGACAAGGGAATATTCTGTACCACAGACATCATGCCCAAAATATAAATAGGGGTGGGCGAGGGGCAAGGATCTGTGATCGCTGCTTTGGACAGGCTGGGCAATCGATCATTGGGTGGTGACAGCAGTTTGTTTTGCTTCACTTCATGTTGAATTTTTTTTAACCATTATTATAATTTTTCTCTTCCATTACTGTTCTATTAAAGTGTCTTTATCTCAACCCACAAGGTGGGTGTTTTTTTCCCCCTTTTTCTCCCTCTTCTCCCCACCCTACTGTGGGTGTGGGGAAAGCGAGTGAAGGGCAGCATGGTCCTAGTTGCCAGCTGAGGTCAAACCTTGACACAGGAAAAAATTATAGAACTCTTTTCTATACGGTCCTACAATAATACATAATAGTGCGGTCCAGGAAACAATTCCAGAGGGAATTGAGTGACTTCAGAGCAAACCATTCTGTTCCATTATTTTCTGATGGAATAAGGAAAAATATCCTAGTCAGGGTATTACAATCAATGTATGCAGATAATAAGAACTGGATTTGAGAGAACAGAAAGCTATGCCTAGAGTTAGGAAGTGTACATAATTATCTTTTTTGGAAACACATAAGTGTTAGTGGCACAGATCGGGGGAGAACCCACCTCATCAGCTTAGCAAATGTGAATTGATCCTTAGAAACTGCTTTAGCCAAAGTGTAAATCAAATAAACTTCCCAAATCAATTACCTACTCTGCATGATAATCAGACTACACATGTAGTCTTAATGGTGTCATCAAACGGTTATGAAAAGAGGCAAAGCTATTTATGACCCAGCTATTACCACGTAGGCAAGTTCTATTGTTTTGCTGTGTGTTTAAACCTGAAAAGCCTACCTCTTGGTTTTTGGCAAGAAATACTAATTTCTAAAATTAATAGTTATGAACATTATGAGATGAACATTAGACTCATTTTCAGTGGGACAGGAATGTAAATTATCTGGGAAATCAGAATGACACTGAATTTTGAATGATGGTGACTCCAAAATAAATTTTAACCATTCTTATTATTGGGAAAAGCTGTTGCTGAACCACTAGAAAAGGCAGGAAAAAAGCTATCATTGAGCTATTAAGTAGATAGAGAAAAAAAAAATCATTATGTAGTTCTTAGACATCTCAATAAAACATTTCAAAAGTAAAATTTCAAAGAGGAACATTTTTTACTTTGTAAAGCATCTGAAGCTTAAACTTTGTAATTCTGTATGCTATATACCAGTGATTATTTCTGCAGCAGTAACATTAAAATTATCATTGATGGCACACACCCCTCATGCATACCAGTACACACAGAAGTGTATAGTAAACTTACCTCTATTAAGCTTAAGTGGACGCCAATTAGATAAGGCATTGGTGCACTGAAGAAAAAAAAATGGAAAAGACCAAATTATTGTTTTGAGTACCACAATATATTTGTGGAGCAAAAAATATTTAAAATCTTAGTACAGACAGTCCCTGGTTAACATTCACTGTTTAAGCCTGTATTAAATGTACACAGTTGCTACTAAAAGTTTTACTAGACAATTTTTAACTTTTTTTTTTTTACTCTGCAGTAAAGACAACCACAAAATAAAGGGCAGTGTTCCTAACCATGGAAGTATGATCAAGAAGACCTGTAAGGCTTGCTAACTGGTTTGCCATACCTATTTTCAATAACCAACTGTACTGTATGGCACATCTAGACTAGTGGATATTCCAAAAACGTCTCTAGAACTACCATGGTTTTAGAACACCATGCTAGAGAATATGGTACCAGTTAGCATCACCCCACTGCAACACAAACGTCACTAACATCACTTGGTTCTGAATGCACTTCTGAAACCCTTCCTCAGTGCACTTTGGAAGCTGTGTAATATCATATTTAACTCAAGATGGTAAACTTCTCATTTCCAGTTTGAATAAGACAAGAAACTACATTCTCAAAATAAAACACATATCCACACAAAGCCCTTGGAGTGAGAGCTCCTGCAGTACACAAGCAAGAAACTGAATTAAGTCAGGCTAATTTATCATGGTATCCTATTAGCTTCTGTTTCTTCCTCTAGTGAATATGTTCTGGCAACATGTGACAAAGAATATACTCAGTATCCAGCGCTGAAGGGAAAAACCATCATCACACTTTTGGGTACTATAGGTTACTAAAAATATTCACTCCAGAGAAGCGATAGATAGGCTGGTTTAAGCAGCTCAGTGGGAAACTAAATACTAAGGGAGTAGAGAGAAAAACTAAATAAAAATGATCTCTGAAAAATAAATGGAAGGTAAGATGACTTATAAGAAGTTACACAGAGAGCTGACAGACAATAATTTCTCCCATTGTATTAATTCAATCCCAGATTTGAGTCACTGGCACCGACTGATTGGCGATTGACTTCCTGAAGCCTGGGGAGAGGCTTCACCGCATCAGTTGAACAGGCCACGTCAATTCGATCCCAACTTTGGGAGCAAAAGTAGCAATGCTCACCTGACTGAGGCTGCAGCCAGTTTTAGAAAAATCTGTACACAATATGGATTAGCCAATTGCTGTCATTAACAATGTCCCACAGGAGAGGATTAATGCGCCACCCCCACCTTCCCCCCCCAAAAAAACCGCACCCAAAAAACCCACCCCAAAATAACGACAAACACCTCAACAAAACAAACAACCAACCACTCAAAATCCAGACTAACTGAGGCCAAAACAAGTTGTCATCATTTTTTTAGTATCAAAATAAAGGTTTGCTGAAACTGCAAACTGTTACGGGTTAAGGTTTCTAGTCAATGAGCCTTCCAGAATGGGAAATGGAGACCCCTATGTCCCCACATACCTTTTTCTTAGCCCAATTCTGAAAAATTTTAGAGACGCCTGATGACTTTATCCAGGCTAAGGCCTTTAGGCCTTTGCGGACTAAATTCAAGTTACTTGGAATCATAAATGAGCATCTTCCCAGAGCAGAAATGAATATATATTCAGTGAGCAATCGGATAGCTTTAAATATAATTTTAAGAACGCACTGAGGCCAAACAAGTTGTCATCATTTTTATAGTATCAAAATAAAGGTTTGCTGAAACTGCAAACTGTTACGGGTTAAGGTTTCTAGTCAATGAGCCTTCCAGAATGGGAAATGGAGACCCCTATGTCCCCACATACCTTTTTCTTAGCCCAATTCTGAAAAATTTTAGAGACGCCTGATGACTTTATCCAGGCTAAGGCCTTTAGGCCTTTGCGGACTAAATTCAAGTTACTTGGAATCATAAATGAGCATCTTCCCAGAGCAGAAATGAATATATATTCAGTGAGCAATCGGATAGCTTTAAATATAATTTTAAGAACACTTTATACTACATAACATATTTAAGCAAGCCAATAAGAATGACTATGATTAGCATGTAACTGAGGATTCTTCTGAATATGCAGCAAAATAGATACTCAGGTTCATCGCATCAGAGTTATCTTAGCATTACAAATAACATGAACTGGAGAAACTACAGTGAAAACAAGTGGTATATCATGTATGCATTTTATGCACACTTGTTTTCTTGTACACCGACACAGTTCTAGCAGCTTCACCAGGCCTGTACTGACTTAAAATAGCTGATGATTTGCTCCATTAATAAATCTGTCATTGAAAAGGGTAGCAAGTAGCTCTTTTCTATGGAACAAAGCAACAGCTACATCATTTCAATTTTGAGAAGTCAACAGAATAAAGGTATAAAGCTAATTAGATAAACACATCTTGGAAATGCATGAAATAAAAATTGCACGTATGGAAAGTCAATTTGATCATTTTCAGCAAAGAATGAATTTTATTACTGCTGGATTCTGAAGCCTTAACAGCAGAGGTTTGTAATAAGAACATGAAATTGCTTACTATGATACTACTGGGAGCTGCTATATAGTTTTTCTGTTGTTTATGCATGTTATTACCAAAAATGTTATTAATCTACAACATCATTGCCTAAAATAATTACTATGTTATGCAAAACATGCAAGTTAATTGGGAAATAATTGTCCCATTCTCACGAAAACAGGCGTGTATATCCCAATTCAGAACAGACCAAATCTTATAAAAAGACATGTTGCAATTGTAACTTGAATTTCATAATTGCATTATATTCTTAGCAAAGCATCAGTAGAACAGATGCTTTATCATCCACAGACAAAACTGTTGGACATTCTTTTATCAGTGACTTAGTTTGCCAAGAAATTACACAGAAAATTGATGAAATTAGCTTTCTCCTTTACAAAAATTAATTTTATTCAAATATAATTACTATATCAATGCTCAAACTTAATTTTTGTAAAAGCTTTCTTGAAAGCCAGCCATCTACTGGGTTGAGTGCAACGATATCTTTTTACTTCCTTAAACATGGAAAATAAATAAAAATATTCAGAAAATTCAACTTTTTAGCAATACTCTGCTGAGTTCTTTTTTCCTCTAGAGCTAAAAGAAAAATTACTTTCACTGCTTAGTATCTTGCTATCTTTTAGAAAAAGAAATTTATTATCTCTTCTTTTTTGGATGATTATTCCAATTCTCACATTTGAGTTCTAACAATGGAATCTGGGGCCAAGATAAGCTCTGTGGGGGAAAAAAACATCCTGAAGTAGATAAATACACAGTATGTTCTCACACTGGACCTTGCACGTACTCATAACCTGGCCAATCCTGACAGCATTACAGTCCATACTGATGCTCAGCAATGATGGGTTTAGACTACTTTAGGAGCACCCATTACATTATATTTAAAACCAGAATGTATATCAGGTTGCCTGATAGAACTTAAGAGGCTTCTTGATTAAAAAGGCAAGTGGAAGAATTCAAATAATTTTTTATTATAGATCTGTTTTCCTCAAAGATACAAGTCTCTTTTGTCATGCCTGCAAAATGTACAAACGGAGCAGTTTATGTAATTTATCGAATTCTAACCCACAAAATTATATCATGTATCTTTATGAAATTTTGAAGATATATAGTCCAACTCATTAAAAAAAAAAAGTGGATTTCTCTCAAAATACATTGCACGATTAACGTGCAAAGAGAAGTCACAGAACCAGGGCCTATATTTAACTAGAAGATTTAAATATATTTTATATTTCTTTTAAAATGGCCTTACTTCCTTGGAACGAACAAAATTATCAAACTGATAATTCCCTACTTCATTTACTTGAATATCATTTCAGAACAAGACTAAGAAAATAAGAGTTCACAGGAGACATTCTTAACAAAGTCCAAGTGAAGCAAGGATGATGTAGCTTCTAGGTATGAAAATGCTACTTAAACTAAAAGGAAAAAAGGCACTTTGATAATAATAACTTTGCTCTATCAAAATGAAAATATAAAAAAGAAATAGAAAACTATTTTATTGATTTTAAATTGACATGACCCTCTTGGACTGGACAATAGGTCTGGCTTAGTATAAACTTTGACTTTATGAATTCATCAAGGTTTTCTCACTTGATATATTATAGACCTATGAGAAAAATATTTATTTACTGCTAATAGGCCAAAACATGAGGAAAGCTAAGCATTTTATGTGTTTTTATCAGACTATTCCAACCTGCCTAACAAAAGAAACATTCAAACCAGACATGAACAGAGAAATGTAAATGAACAAAAATCTGAGTTAAAAGATCTGAATTATAGATACTGTGGTAAATTCATCAATTGTGCACTTCCTTTCACGAACTTTATGTTTCCATTTGAACATCTCTAAAAAAAGGTAATTTCGCCCCTCTCCCCCCAGTTCTGTTGCACTTCTGTGAAAAAGAAAAAGGCACATAAATGAGTTTTACAAGGTTAAGAAACTCCATGCTTCTTTTTAATGAGTAAAGAAAATTCTCAGGTCAAGCCATAATGACCTAGAATCTCAACTATTATCATCATCACAAGAAGCTGTGTACAGCATCTTACATTATTATTTCTGGAAACATTATTTGTGCTTCGGAGGGGAAATAAAAAAAAAATCTTCTAGTATTCAGGATGCACTCTGCAGGGTACAGCTTGAATAAAGGTGTTGATCTACCTTCTGAGAACAGCATTTATGGATGATACTGAAGAAATTACAAAGCTTCTGGCAGTAAGCTCAAGTAATACAAAAACTAAACAAATACATCCAAGCTCTACCATCTTAGAGCATTTTATCAAAGCTAGGAGGAAAAACAATTAGGACAGAATTTCTTCAAAAGAAAACTATCATTAAAGATGAAAGGCTTAGCTGTAGTTGAAAGTAAAGGGAGGAGTGGGAGAGGAATATTTGATTTCTCCTTAAAAACAATAAATAATATACATATGAAGTATAGGAACTATCACAGCAAAAGCTGGGTAATGGGTAAATATTCTAAACTTGAGGAAAAACTATCAAAGTGACTTAAGGAAACATAATGAGAATTTCTTTGAAAACAAGAAGTTCAATCGACTGGGCGCAGGTCAATGGAACATCAATATTTATAGGTTCCAGAAAAAACCAAAACAATGTCCAGCAAACATACAAGCATCATTTATTCCTGTGAAGAAAAACATTAGTAACAGAAACATAGAATCAAGTTGGTAGGCATCTGACTCGGTCTTGCTTTTTATACACAACAACAATTCCTGATCTCTAGAATGGATTTAAATGCTTCATTTTCCACCACAGATCCATAGGTCTAGTTAAAGTCAAAGTCTCCAGGTCCTGTTTCCGGTGCTTTAACAGAAACTCTCATTTGGTACCTCTAGCACCACCAGGAATAAAAGAAAGTAGATCTCTTCTTAGCCTGAAATCTTAAAAGACAGGCACATGGAAACATCATCCCTTGAAGGATCAGACATGACTCAAGAAGCGAATCTTTCTTGTTCAACTTAAAGACTTGCCAAAACCACGAGGTCTGTCATGTGAGCAGAAACACATCAGCAGAAGCAGAATTCTTACAATCAAAATTTTGGAAGTACCAGAAAGAGATTTTAAACTCTTTCAGGAAGGTGTTGGATAGCATCCTGAACCTGGTTGAGTCTAAAATACAACTATTAAAACATTGTATAGACCTAAGGGAAATATTCCTCCTAATGATTCATTCTAAATACAATGACAAGGGTTTGGTTTTTTTTGTAATGCTTCTACCAATATCATTTATCTAAAGTAAAAATAAATGCCAAATAAAAGAAAACCGTAACACAGCTGCATGTAAACTCCTGAATGCATTCTCTAACAATAAAACAGGAACAGTAATTATAAACATGATTCTAAATGCTGCACTGATAGTAATCAGCACTGTAACTCAAGGTACCAATTCAAACCCCACATAAAGGCATGCTGAAATATCTCTATTCAAGTCATCATTTAAGTATTGATTTAAGTGCTTTCATAAACTGGATCCTGTATATTTAGTCACATAAGTAATTAATGTTTTCGTCAGTTAGAATTACAAGACAGGTAAGAATCTCAGAAAGGGGGTTAACAGGTTATCCATCTTACCAGCAGTAGTCCAGAAGATGTGGAGGAAGCACTGGGATGTAAATGTGTTGCCAATACATTGGATATAACAATGCAGCTGACGCATGAACACAAGCAGTTAACTAAAAATAAAAATACACACACAGAATTGGCAACAAAAAATATGAATAAAAAGAAAATACAAAAACTTAAATCAACTTTTAGACATGTAAGAATCTTAACCTCCCCAAAACACCTATTATAGCATTTTTAAATTACTTTTAATTGCTTAAACGCATCTATGAAGAACTCTGATATACATATGTAAGTACAACATTTGCAAGGTCAGACTAACACCACAATTAAAATTTAGCTCTGCTCAGCTATATCTTTGACGATAAAAAACCAAACGTACTATTTGATGTTTATCAAATGAGGGTACTGCTACTACCACACAGAACTCAAGTGCGCCCCAGCTGTCCTCAGCTCCATTGAGCAGGGAAGACTCAGAGGAGTTTTTTGGTGCACATTTCTGCTGTTTGGAACAACTGAATTTGAGCTGAACCCACATGCAGCCACAGAACAGCATTAAACTCAAGAGCAGGATTAATTTCTGCTTGTGTCACTGTCTTGATTTCCAAACTACCTTCAAAAAAGCCTGAAGAGAATATTCCTTGAGACAGCAAAGCAACTTTATTACAATTTTCCAAAATTCCTTCCCAAAGCAGAGACTGGCAAGTCTGGCACTAGCATCACCAGCAAATGAAGGACTCCTTGACCAAGAAAGAAAGTGTTACAATCTGCTTACCATTCAAAACGTGTTTTTCTAAAGCAACCAAGCAAACAAACAAACAAACAAACAAAAAAAATCACAAAAAATATCCCACCCACGCCCCAAAAAGCTATGGAATTGATTAGAAATGTGGTCTTAGTTCACTCCTCAAGTGAAGAAAATAATCTGCAATACCAAAAGAATTCAAATTTGATCTATCAAATACCACTTTGCTATCAGGGAGTCACTCAAATGTATTTATTTTATTAGGCCACCACAGAGTTGCAACAGAATGAGAAAACACCAAGATTGTGTTCAAAATGAGGTAGCCTATATTCAGCAAATAAAACACTACAAACTTTATAAAATAAAGAAAAACCACCGATTTTAAAAAAGGGAAATGCCTCATGTAGAAGACAGAATCTTTCCAAGCTAATGGAAAGCAACGAGACTGTCCTAATGTTTTATATCCCAACAGAATTACTATCTGAGGTTAACTTGATAATAGCACTGTTTATAAGACATGTACTTTTACAGTAACAAAATTAAGAGGTAAAATAAAATGTAAATTCCGTCCATACAGCAAGTGCTAAAACTTTATACATTTTATAGGAAAAAAACACACCTTCTTTGTGGAACAGATCAGCAGTTAAAGCTTTCACACACTGGCTGTCTTGGACATTAAGACTTGTAAATAAAAATTATACTGCAATTTTGTACATGTATTTTTACACTAAAAATAAATTAAAAAAAACATCTAAGACTATTGCAGCAGAAATCATGGACAATTACAATTTGTGCAGCATAGTTTGCTCAGCACTCAGATTAATATAACATGATTAAATATGGAAAAGAAGAGGGTCTGAAAGCTCCTGAGGGATATCATTAGGGCAAATTGCCAAAGAATGAAACATGAGCCAGTCAGGAGAGGCTGGAAGCTGCAGTAGTACCAAGGGACTTGAATGTTCGACAGTTGGAGCTTCAGTAACGTGTGAACTGCAGGTTAAGGTATCAGGAGACTCTGTTCACTGACACACAGAATGTCACTATTGACCAGCGAACTGCCCGAGCCTGACAGCTACACTGCAGAAAGCCAAGTATATCATAATTCCGCATTTAAACTCTTCGTTTCAGATTAACATCTCGTTTCTTAGCTTTACACCAAACCTCTGCAATTACACTCACTTTAGACTTGTAATAATGGCTATTTTAATAATTACTGTGTTGTTACTAAGAATTCATTGATTTGGGGGAAGAAATAAATGTCTTATCCCTCTTCTACACAGCGGGATTTATGAGTTATATTTCTATATTATCTCTCTCTGTAGTTTAACTAACACTACTGATAGTGCAGTCAAGCTGAGTAAGACCCTTTCTCCTCTTTTACTCAAAATGGTTACGGAATTACTAATTTGTATGTCCATAGTATATAAATTTCAAACCGCAGCTACCTATATAAAAAATAGCATTTTGTATATTTCAATCACAGACTGAAATAAAGCTGAGCATCCAGTTATACAGGATATCCCCCAATGCATACAGCTGCCTCCTCCTCCTCTTAATAGGCATTCTTAAATTATGAATTAAGATGACTATACTATTTGCATGAAGAAGTATTTTCCTATCTTATGCATATGTCTGTGTTATATTTTAGTTTTCACTTTAACAGAGGAAGTGGATAATTCCTTAAAACCATCTGAAGTTTTATTAACACTCTTGTTTTACAATCTATATTTTGGCAGTTAGACTGACATCTATTTAACATTGGTAATTTAAAAAAATCTATAAAATTTTAGCATTTATAGCAGGAAAGTAAAGATTTTATTACTTACACATCAAGGTTTTTCTGTACTGTTCTTTGCTTTTCTATTTAATGACATCTTAGTGTAACATCTTATTTAAACATTTCTATCTCTGCTGCTGCAGTAGGTTTCCAAACATTTTAGTACGGCATGAATATGTTTTATAGTTTCCTGTTGTATACAGCCTGTAATACTAGCAGCTGTGGGATTCTGCTGCTCTTCAAACTGTGTGACATTTCTATTCTGTGCCAACTCTGCCTTTAAGCAATTAGTGATAATTATGGATTCCATATTAAAAATTGCACACTTTCTGGCAAATTCTCTTTTTGCCTTTTTTACTGTTTCAACAGCGACTGCATTTCTTAAATGCATTAGCTATTTAAATATCTTACCTCTTTAACTGACATGTTCACTCTTTGAAATAGAATGGGGACTACTGCAAACCTTGGACTAATGCAGCGTGTCTGAAGTAACCAGATAGTTCCAGAGATCAGAAAAGCATTCGGGGACCAGACAGAGCCCAACTGCTTACTTCAGGACACAGAGGTCTGTAAAGGTGACAGTAGATTTGGAGGGGTGTCTGAGAGCATCTCTGCCTGGGAGGGGGGCCAGGCAGAGCCCTGGCAGGCACCCTGCTGAACGCTGAAAGAGGCAGAGCGCGCAGAAGCAGCTCCCAGGTGCAGAAACGAGCATCTGTTGCTTGACCAAATAGCAAGAACTTTTTCAGAAAACAATTCTTTATGCTATTTAAGGAAGACTATGTATGTATGGAGCCTGTCTGTTGATTGCCATCTATTCCAAAAGGAATCATCAAGACCCGCATTAAAAAAAAATAATAAAAAAAAAATTGTAAGAGAAATGTTATAGATAAGAAAAATCTCTTTTTCAAGACAGGTAGTCTTTTATCATAAATTATCTTGAAGTCATCTTCAAGGCTGTGTATAACCTAACCTCTTTTGCCAGTGATAACTGGAGATTGCATCAACTGTGAACTGTGATCCCCTTTACAGATAAGCTTATAAGGTCAAAGCATCTGTCCAATAAAATTTGCTATATATTTATGTATACACAGAAATACATCATTGCACAAGTCCACCGTTTGCTAAAAAAGCCCCTTAAGTTATAGCAGAATAGTGCTGTAGAACCTAGTTACTGAAATCTGATAGTTTATTTCATGTTTTGAGGCAACAAATGATGTTGAGACGTCCTCCTACAGTCCACTGGACTAGAAAAGACCTACCAGAGCTGTGATTCTATCCATAATAAAACGGGTGGGCTGGTTTTAAGTAAAGATTTTATCTGTTGAAACCCCATTTGTTGATATTGAACAGAACTTTTAATATTTCCGCTTACAACAATTCTGATTTTTTTTTGACTGCTTTTCTCCATTTCAAAGAATGTCTTCTAGTTTAATCAACTTTCATGTAAAAAATAAACATAATCATGGTTTAAAAGTGACCTAAATAATGTGGTTTTAAATTATATAAGCAACATGAGTCAATTGACTTGAACTAGTTAAAAAACAACTTTTAACAAAAAAATTCAACATTCAACCCTCTCATAAATAAACAAATTTAATTTGAAATGCCTAACATTTGCATTGGACATGAAAGAAGTCTCCTGTTCCATTCTATCAGCAATGAATTTACTAACATTACTGAGTACAACTGAAAGTTTCCGTCTGTTTCTGATCTCTTCTAAGACACTGCAACCAGCATCACCATATAAGTTTTCACCACCCTGTAAGGAAAGTATGGGGTGTTTTCTCCAGAGTTTTATAGTGATTCTGGTACAATAATTGTATCTTTATCTCCTGAAAAAAAAAGGAAGATGCTGGAACTATAAGCCTGGTGATAATAGTGTCTCTCCAAATAGCGGGAGGCCACCTTAAAAAGTTTGTTAGCAAAATTCATTATCGGGTGATAGTAAATCGTTTACTACCAAATCCCTGCTGAAACAATGCACAAATTCTAGAGAATGATGAGTTACTTTCCACCTTATGGCAATAAGCAGCCGCTTGGGAAGACTGGTCTTCAAAATCTGTGTGCTGCTGAAGAGGAAGAGTCAGGAAAAGTTTTAGTTCAAGACTTGATCAAAGCAGGTTTACCTGCTCCGGGGAACATGAAGACTGCAGCTCCTCCCTTTTCCTCATGTGGATGCAGTAATCCTGATGTGTGTAACTGCTACCCCAATGCTCACTTCTATCAATGAACCTTTCTACTTTGGATTTCAATGGGAGTGCCCCCTTTTTCTTTCCTTTTTTATTCCAATTTTAGTTTTTCCTAAAACACTGCAACATGCCTAAAGCCATACCACTTCAGCTGAAAGATCTTCTGCAGACTCCAGTTATGCTTATTTGATATCTATAATTCACATAATTCCAATGAGCAACATGAAAATAATTATAATAATTGATCTGTATACTGCACAAAACTTACCTGGCAGTTACTTTCTATCTATATAAATTGATTTCTTCAAAGACTTTTCTATAATCAAAGGTAAAAAGAGAGGCAGAGCATAGGTGGCAAGATTTGCACACACCACAAGGCACAAACTAGAAAGAAAACTG